ACCCCTTTGGGCAAGCCCAAGAAGCAAAGGTGCAACCCTTAGTGTTGAAGTTGCGGCAGCACGGCTTGTTGGCATCCGTGAAGGCTGAGCAGCCTTAGGGCAGATCTTGATCAAAGCGTTGCTTCTTCTTTGGATTACCTTTGCCAGGGATCAGGACGCTTAGGGTGGTTAGGGTTGGGTTTAGGCGGAGGCTCAATGGAGGCAGAGGCAGCCGGGAGGGGCTGCAGCAGTAATCGCACCTCAGTACGATCAATGTAATACTTGATGGCAGCATCAACGGGCTTGCTGTTGTCAGGCTGCATGGCAACATTTCCTCGCGTGTACTCACTGACCAACTGCCACAAGCGTTTGTCGGCCTCCTGAACCTGCTGGACAGTGACCGTACGATAGCCTTTTGGAGGCTCTCGCAGCATTTCCGCAAACAAGGTTTCGGTCCATGTCTCAAGAGTTTTATATTCGATCATCCTGGACAAGTCATAAGCCAGGGCTCTGCGCTGAAGAGCCTGTCGAAGCCGTGCATCACCTACCAGGCGGGCCTCAAGATGATCCTCCTGGGCCCTGGCTTTAAGGCCCCCGCTGGCGTCAAGTGCAAAGCTGATGACCTTCTTGACCTGCACTGCTTCCTGGGCTCTGGAAGTAAGCTGTCCCCAAGGAATCCAACTGATGCAGCCATCGTCCTGTTGCTGAAAGATGCGGTCAACCAAAGCATGGGAAGGCTCGTTATCCAAAGTCATGACAACCCCTTCAAGCCTAGCTCGTTGGAGCTCAGCCCTTGAAGAGCGCTCGGCCATAGGAAGCTTGCGGGGCTCGGATGCGTCCGTGCGCTCGATGCGCGCACGCATGTCTGCAAGGCACACTGTGTTCGCTTCGAAGTAGAGTCTCCTGAGGATGGGCTTCTCTGCAGCAGTGGGAGCACGGCCCATCACTTCTTCCAAAGCAGTGAAGAGAGGAGCCTCGTCTGCCATTCCTGGCTGGTACGCTGACACAAATGCCAGCTTGCCCAACGTGTCAATGCCATTGTCAACCAGAAGAGCCGTGGCGGCTTCCGGTAAACCATAGGCCTTGGCTTTGTCCCTCAGAACGGCCTCCGACTCCAGACCCACTCCTGCCATGGCTTCGACCTGGAACCGAAGAAGAGTACCTAGCAGGACACGAAAAGTGAAGCATGAATGCAATGCGGAATAATCTAAGTTGCATCACTGAAAGGTGCGGCTGATGTCGAGCCCTGCAAGACTGGTGCGCGCGCCGTTGGAATAGTCAACATGCTGATGCCCGAAAGACTGATGCATGCGACCTCACTCGGAAGCTAGATGCCTCGGATTGTTTTCCTTTCGGAATAGCGGTTGCGGCTGAGTGGCCGCTAAGGTTTCGCCCTCTGGACGATAAGTGGGCTCAGATGCCCAAACATTGACTGCACTGTGGATGGAGGTCCGGAAGGATGTCCCCCTCGAGTGCTACGTAGTTGCTGTTGAGGACTCTTCCGCACTTAAGGCGCTCCTCTGAAATCTTAAAATGCAAAATGCCTGAAAGGACATGCCTTACGATCTCCTCGTCTGGGGCCACTGGCTGTGGCAGGCCCGGGAGGTCGGAGCTCAGCTCGTCCGGCTCGTCCTCCAGGTCTTCGGAGGCGCAATCTTCCGATCCTACTTCGGACACCGGCTCATCGCCTTCGACCACCGTGTGGCGGTCCAAAGTCTCGCCTTGCTCCACCAGGGCCTTCAAGCGCATGACTCTAGAGAGGTCCGGGTCGAGAACTCCTGCGCGGATGAGGTGAAGGACGCCGAAAACCAAGGCAGCCAGTCGCGTGCATTCATCTCGAGAGTAGCACAAAGGAGAAGCAGCATTCTTATCAACATGGTGGCCAATAAGACGGCGATCCTGCAAACTCACCTTTGCACTTTTCGAGCACCAGCTAACGCAAGGTGCTCTTCAAGCTGTGGCTGGAGACTTTCCAGCACTCTGATGGGTCTATGCCACCGTTCGCCAAGATCTCGCGAAGACAGAAGCTGGCCTCACCTGTGCTCAGCGCGCGGTTGAGAAACTTGCCGGTGTTCCAGGAGTAGGCAGGCAGGGCCCATTGGCAATTGGGAGGTAGGACCTCCCGAGCTTCTTCCCAACCACAAGCCCATGGATAATCAGTCTCCAAACCGATGCCCAGAGCAAGGAGCGGCAGGAAGGTGGTCTTCTTCTCCTGGCTGGTAGCAGTCTTGTAAGACCTGGTGGCAGTCTCAACGAGGACGATAGGGCCGCCCTCAGAAACCTGGATCTTTTCCAGAGCTTGCGAATCCCCAAAGCGGCAGCAGGCGTAGAGGCAAAAGCAGAGGTGGCCCGCAACCAAAGTCAGGTAACTTCCATCCCTGAGGCACGCCGTCTGCTCCAGAACCCGAACCATTTCTACAGTGAGCGGAGGTGCCTGCTTGAGGCATCGCTTGCCCTCGAACATAGACCGGGCGGCCCCTCGCACGCGAGAGGACAAGAGAAAATCCACGCTCGGCTCCTTAACACGAGCCACTTTGTATAAGTAGCTGAGTGCTTGAAGGAAGGTGGAAGCAGCTGTAGCTCCGCACTTGCTTTCTCGAAGGTGGCAGATGTACCTGTAAGCCAGAGTCTCGGTCGGACGAAGAGGGGTGCCGACCTTGTTGCTGGTGACCCATTTGGCAAACCTCCAGTAAGCTGCGGAATACTTCACCAAGGTTCCAGTTGCACGCCCAGCAAACGCATCTACCACGACCGTGGAGGCTTCATTGTCGCCTCCCATCTGCATGGAGATCTCCCACAGAGTCTCACCCAGGACACTGGCTGTGGGCTCCGAAATCAGAAGAACTCGGAAGCGTTGCGGAGCCTTGAGGCGAAGCTCGTCATCGGATTTAATGCGGGATGAGTAGTATGCCCTCATGGCCGCAAACTCGTGCCCTGCTCGGGGCTCCTGCTTTGGAGGCGAAGCAACCAGGGTCTGCAGATGGAAGTCCTTGGAACCCACACGTGTGGGCTGCAAGGGTCTTGGCTTAGCCGCACCGAAAACCATTGCCATAGGCCCCTTCTCCCAAGGAAGGAGAGGCCGAGCAGCAAAACAAAGCAACGAGAGAAGAAAAAACATCCAATTTCCAATTCTAGAACTTTTGCCGAATAGTGTCTTCTCAATTTTTGGCCGATTTGACGGGCTCATTTTCGAGACCGAAAAACCCTCAGAAAACGTGTCCACCAGAAGGGGCCTCC